AGTTAGAAGAGATATAGAGGAGTCAAAACCGGATTAGAATGGAAACTTAGATCTAGCCTACGCAAGAGATGTTTGGGGAAAACTGGTGTTAGAAGCAAAGAGCATAAATGGCTCGTAAAAGCTAAAAAAAAAAAAAAATTATAATATAACTATGATTAAAAAGAAAAAATGAAAAATGAAAAACTTTTCATTTTAATACATAAACATTTATATAATATTATGTTAATACTTATTGTGTGTCAACAGCAGAATTGGGCATTAGTCGAATAAAATATTATTCGATTGATTATTTGAATAAAAAATTATTCGTCATTGATTTATTCTTAATTTTATTACAGATTTTTGTTTTTATTTATTATTTTAATTTATATTATTATTCGTTATTTGTTATTCCCTATAATTATATAAATAATAAATTTAAATCCTAAATAACGATGTATAATATAATTTACTTATTATTTAGACTTAAATAATATATATAAAAATGTTATTATTATTACTTGAATTATTATTTAATCATTAATTATTATTAAAGTGTTAAATTATGTGAAATTTACGTAAAAATTTGTTTGATTATTTACCGATATATCTACAAAGTTTAATGTAAAAACGCCAAAGGTGATATAACATTTTTCTAATAGTTATCTGCTAGTAACCTGTTTAGTTACCAAAATATAGGTTTTGATAGGGTACAATTCACGCCCATATGATTGTGATTAGTATAATACACAAGTTAAAAAAAAATTAATATAATTTATGATATTTATGATTTTAACAAATAAATTTATTCTTTATTCATAAATAAATTAGTTATTCATGTAGTTATATAGTTATCCATGCTTTTATTTTTTATTCTTTATTTTGATTTGTTTTTGCCCAACTATGGTCAACAGTAGCTATTATTCATAATGCTTAAAAATAAAACGACTATTAATGCAGAGCCTAGAGAATATTATTTAAATAGTTTATAATGTAATTATTAAATGCATTTTGTGAAGAGTAGGGTAAGATTTAATACGTTAGCCAATTATATACTTAACGTATTATAATAGTCTATTATTAATGTTATAATGTAGATACGTAATTGTGTACTCTTAGTAATGAAGTTATTGGAATGAATTATATAATAACAAAACATTGTACATCGATTTTTCTTAATAATTCAAAATGACTGCATTCTTCAATGACAAAAGAATTAAAGCGAATTTTTCTTTGAATATAATTATTTTGTGCGTGAACATTATTGATAATTTACAATACAAATTTTAAATACAAATTTACAATAATTTAAATAAATTAAATTTAAATTTAAATAAATTTAAATAAAATACAAAAATTTACAATAAAAATTTACAATATTATGAATATATTTGTACATTTCTATAAATTAAAATTCTGTATATAAAAATTGATGATTTTATGTGTTAAGTTTAATTTATATGAAATCATGAATTTTTCTCATTATTTTTTTATTAAAAATTACTTATTTCTAAGTACCATATAGTAAAATAATTATTCAAAACATACGATTGTATTAGAATTACAGATGAATAAAATTATGTAAAAAAAATAGTTATTGTTTTGTTATTATATTATTATTTTAAACATTTAATCAAAATAAATCATAACGTGTTTTAGATTTGTTATTTAATAGTATAATAATCTAAAATTACTTGAAATAAATATTGTTTGATTCTTTATTAATTGATTTTTTTTTAATAACACTGGTTTTACTGGTGTTAGTAGTTTTTTTTAACGCATCGTTCGCAATATTAAAATATATTTAACCCTTTCTCAATAACTTTTTTTTGTGTTGGACCTTTTTTTTTATTTGATTGTTAATAATTATTTTTCAGAATTTTTATAATTTTATTATTTGATGTAAAACTTGAATCTTTTTACTTAATAATTAATTTATTATTTCAAAAATAGATAACTATATTTCTTGAATTTCAATGATACCGTATGAAAGTGCCAGTAACATATAATTAAACATTTTCAAAAATTGCTTTACTTTATATTAAACATGTTCTTTAAATTTTTATAAATTATACCGTTTTTTAAAACTATGAATTTAATTTTAAACTATAGATAAAGTATTAAAATAGTATATATTATTAAATGCTAGGTATAAATTAAATGTATATTTTAGTTAAAATTGTCAACAATGATTTTCAGTCATTATCAATCATTACAAAATCTTTGACATTATTATGAAAATTAAATTTAACGCTCGAAGTGATCATTAATATTATTATACATACTAAATGGCTTATTGTAGTGCATTAAAATCGGTTAAAACCTTAATTACGCCATTATGGGCTTCGACGGGTAATTAAATAGAGGGACCTTTGGACACGCATCCACGCATTGCTACACAACTACAAATTAATTGGCTGAGAATTTTGAAATGGCTTATTTACACATTTTCGTGGTTTAGTAAATAAAAAATAAAATATGTATAGAGTTGTACCTTTTTCCGCTGCAGCAGTCGACTGGAATAGTTTGTTTTATACACTTACAAACATATGAAATCAATAATGTATGGGTGTATTTGGAATATGTGTGCTGTTTGAATTTCTTTCCCTCTTATTGTGCGTATGTGCGCATGTGTGTGTGTGTGTGTGTGTGTGTGTGTGTGTGTGTGTGTGTGTGT